AGTGAGTAGCCTTTCCCTTCTCCAGTGGATCTTCCCAACCCAGGGATCGAACCCAGATCTCCCACATTGCAGGCGGGTTCTTTACCAGCTGAGCCACCAGGGGAGCCCCAAACTGTTGAATCCACCCTTTTCAGTGTATGGTTCTGAGTCTTCACGTATATTTACAGTCATGTAACCAGCATGATCGGGATGAAAAACATTTCCATCATCCCAAAAAGCTCCCTTGTGCCCTGAAGCTGTCCTCTCAGGCCAGGTACTCAGAGTCCTGAGTACCCCGTGGAATGTGCATGGTACTTAGGACAGAACTCAGGCCCTCAGCCCCGTCCTATACCAAGGGGACTGAGCTTAGAGAGGGTCAGTGGTAACAGAGAACAGGAGAGAAGAGAGATGTTCTATTAACGTGACCCTGCTGGATAAACACGAATGAGCTTTTGGGCACAAAGCAGTTGGACGTTTTTGTACAGTGGGACAACAGCCTTCACCACACCCTTGGATTTTACCAACTTCTAGTCCTGAAGCCCAGAGAGGTTAAGACACTTACTCAGAGTCACATAGCAACTGGGGGGGCAGAAGCCCCAAACTCTGCCCGCCCCTCCGAGGCTGCAGACCTCTCGTTGTTCCCTCCACCATCACTTCCTCCCCATCATGAACTCTCCTTCCTGGCCATCTCTCCACCCCAGAGGCCCGGAGCATACAGAGGATAACGAGAGCAGGCCAATGCAAAAATCACATGAGCACTTCATGGTGGCTTTGAAATGTTTTGGTGAAACCCAGGCCTCCAATGGCAGATCTAAATTGCATCACATGAGGTCTGGAGGGTAGTGACCTCATGGAGGCAGAGACAACAGGAGGAGGTGCCAAGCGCGAGGGACGTCAGAGACTCAGCTGCCTCTGGGCCTCCACCACCAAAGTGCTTACATCCCCAGCAGAAGGGGTACCTGGCTCCCTGACCCACCCCCTGAAGACCTGGTGGTCCTCAGACAAGTAGAGGACGCGTGCCCAGGGCTCCTTCAGGGCTCAGCGCCAGATCACTGGGCCTGTCCTTCCCATTGCCCTGGTCCCGGAAGAGCCCCTGGAGGGTAGGGGCCAAGCCCGTTCAGGCCGTTGAACCCTGCAGTCACTGCTGTAACTGCAGGGCACGTCTGCTATGTACAGAGCAGACAGAGACTCACAGATATAGAGAACGGACCTGTGGCTGCCAACAGCAGGAGGATGGTGTGGGAGGCTGAGATTTGCAGGTGCAAACTACCACACACGGAATGGAAAAGCACCACGGTCCTGCTGATCAGCACAGGGAACCGTGTCCCACATCCTGGGATAAAAGGATTGGAAAAGAAAACATAACAATAATCACACCTAACTTGCATGGATTTTACTTTAGCAGATTAAAGAAGGGAATATATTAGTTCTGTTCAGTCTCTCAGTCGTGTCTGACTCTTTGCGACCCCATGGACTGCAGCATACCAGGCCTCCCTGTCCATCACCGACTCCCAGAGTTTACTCAAATTCATGTCCATCAAGTCGGTGATGCCATCCAACCGTCTCATCCTCTGTCGTCCCCTTCTCCTCCTGCCTTCAATCTTTCCCAGCATCAGAGTCTTTTCCAATGAGTCAGTTCTTTGCATCAGGTAGTCAAAGTACTGGAGTTTCAGCTTCGGCATCAGTCCTTCCAAGGAATATTCAAGACTGATTTCCTTTAGGGTGGACTGGTTGGATCTCCTTGCAGTCCAGGGGACTCTCAAGAGTCTTCTCCAACACCACAGTTCAAAACCATCAGTTCTTCAGCGCTCAGCTTTGACTCCTACCATCTGTGTCCCCAGTGCCCAGGTCTCAGAAACACTTGGTGACTGACTGACGGGTCACTCCCCCCGCCCCAATCACCTAGCTATGGCCTCTGACTGGTAATAACACTGCAGTTGATGAGCTAAAGAGTATAGACTCTGGAGCCGGGTTGCCGGGTTCCAGCCCCAGCCCCACCAACTCCTTGCTGTGTGGCTCCAGTTGGCCCCTCAACCTCTCCGTTTCTCTGCTGGAAATGGAAGTGGTTGAGCGTGTGCCCTGAAGAACGGCCAGGGAATGGCACAGAGGATGTGTAAAAGCAGCACGGTGAGCCCTCAAGAAGTCACTGTTTTTACAACCACTGATGAACATAACTTTCATGCTCTCTGCCCGCCTTCCTCCCCGGAAGGGCTGGGACAGGAAGGTGGGGGGTCCCAGACGGGAGAGTGATGAGGCTTCGATCAACCACGTCGGAGGGGCTGATAAATAGAGGTGAGTCCAGAGAGGGTTTAGCCAGCCTCTCCAGTCAGCTGTAAGTAAAGTGCTGGAGCCCAGGGAGGGGCTGCCTCGGCCAACACGGACGCGGTAGGGCTGTCATCCATCGCCCCACGTGCAGCTGCAGGCGGCCCCACCAGGGCCCCCAGGCTGGAGTGTCAGCGGGCATCTGGAGGCTCAGAAACAACCACTCCCACCCCCAGGAGGGACACTGGCCGGGGCGAGGGTCCTGGTCCCGTCCGGAGGGTGAGGAGGCTGGGGACGCAGACAGGCCCGGGTCCTGCAGCACCGCCCTAGGGCCTCACACATTCATTGCCCTGACCTACCTCACTCTTAACCCCACGTACAGCTGAGGAGACCGAGGCACAGAGGAGCTAAGAAACTTGCCCAAGGCCACTTGGCTAATACATTGACTGAGCCAGGATTTGACCCCCGCCCCCAAAGCCAGGGCTTTATGTCTCTCGGGCCATAGGGAGCCACAGAAGGTTACTGAGGGAGAGAGGGACCTGGTCGCTCTGCATGGAGTTGGGTGGAAGATGAGGCTGGAGGGGGAGGTCTGGCCACAATCCCATCCATGTTTGTGATGGACAGCAGCCCTGGGACAGCAGAGTCCGGGCCCTACGTGGGGATCAGCAGCGATGGCCCTGAGTGGGGAGTGGGGTGGGGGTTCTGAGAGCCTCTTCTGATTGGCGTTTCCCACTCTTCATCATGAGGTCAGGAACAAGGGGCCCACAAGTCCGCTCCCAGTGCCACCGCCAGGCCCGGCTGCTGTCCATTTCCTCCCTCTTAGCTGAGCCCACCTCCCAGGTCCAAGGCCAGGCCTGCAGGCCGCTCCGAAACAGGGTGACATTGACGGTGTGGCTTCTCGGGACACCCCACCCCCAGACGTCCTCACTGTACCTTGGCTGGAGGAGGTCGGCCCCAGTCCTTGCGGTTCTGTCTTGTTGTTCAGCTGCGGCTGAATTATCCAGAGAGAGAAGCCGGCTCCCCTCCAAGGGGTGGGGGAGGGCCGACTGGTGGGCATCGTGCCCCCCTCTCCCCCGTCGCAGAGCAGCCTCCGTGCCCCCGCCCTGCCTGGCACACACACTTGGCTGGGTCTGCAAAAATAACAAAATATGAAATTCAGATTAATGTTCTGTTTAGTCGGGATCTGAATTTCAAATCAGGACGAGCTGACTCAGATTGACTACAGTCCGTCTCTCTGAGCCCGTCAGCCCGCACCTGGGCCCCGAGCAAGGGGTTCTACTCGGGGGAGCCCAGCATATCCGGACGGGTGGGCGGGCGCTGTGTGCCAAAACATGTAGGTTGACAGGCCCCAGGCTCTGCCTTCGGAGGTCAGCAGGGTCCAGACCCCCAGCCGGGCTTCCACGCCAGCCTTCCCACCGAAAATCAACAATCTCCAGTTGACGTGGGGTTTTTCCAGCTTCACTGAGGTACAGCTGACAAATCTGTAAGATATTTACAGTGTGTGTCATGGTGATTTGATACATAGATACACTGTGAAAATATTCCTCCCATCTAGTTAATTAACACATCAGTCACATCACATATTTATCTCTTTTCCTTTTTTTCCCTTTGGTGAGAATATTTAAGTTCTACTGTCTTAGCAAGGGCTTCTCTGGTGGCTCAGATGGCAAAGAATCTGTCTGCGATGCAGAAGGCCTGGGTTTGAACCCTGGGTAGAGAAGATCCCCTGGAGAAGGAAATGGCAACCCACTCCCGTATCCTTGCCTGGAGAATCCCATGGACAGAGGAGCCTGGAGAGCTATAGTCCATGGGGTCACAAACAGTTGGACACGACTGAGCGACTAACACACACACACTCTTAGCAAAGTTCAATTATACGTACAATGTATCAACCATAGATATCAACCAATGTATCAAACCAAGACAGCGTATTAAACAGCAGACACATCACTTTGCCAACAAAGGTCCATCTAGTCAAGGCTATGGTTTTTCCAGTAGTCATGTTTGGAAGTGACAGTTGGACCGTAAAGAAGGCTGAGCACCAAAGAACTGATGCTTTTGAACTGTGATGCTGGAAAAGACTCTTGAGAGTCACTTGGACTGCAAGGAGATCCAGCCAGTCCATCCTAAAGGAGATCAGTCCTGAATATTCACTGGAAGGACCGATGGTGAAGCTGAGTCTCCAATACTTTGGCCACCTGATGCAAGGAGCCAACTCATTGGAAAAGCCCCTGATGCTGGGAAGGACTGAGGGCAAAAGGAGAAAGAGGCAGCACAGGACGAGATGGTTGGATGGCATCACCGACTCAACAGACATGACTTTGAGCAAGCTCTGGGAGACGGTGAAGGACAGGGAAGCCTGGTGTGCTGCAGTCCTGGGGTCACAGAGAGTCGGACACGACTTAGTGACTGAATGACACGCAACATCAACCACAGTCACCATGTTTATGTTAGACCCTCACCTCTTATTCGTCTTACAGCTAAAGTTTGTACCTTTCCCTCATCCCCTGTTGCTCCTCCCCCACTCCCAACTGCCCCCGGCAACTACTTTCCTACTTTGTTTCTATGAACTTGACTGTTTAAAAATATTCCACACACACAAAAAAAATTCCACATAGAGGTGACACCATACAGTCCTTATCTTTCTCTCCCTGACTTATCTCACTTAACATAATACCCTCAAGTTCCAGCCATCCTTCTTTCTCGTGGCTGGATGATATTTTGATTGCTTTTTTCCCCCATTAATTTTGCTGCACTGGCTACCGTCGGTCCACACCAGAGCTAAGAGAAGATGCACCCCCTGGCCCCTTCACACATTCCCCTCTCGCGTGGCCCCTCTGGGCCTGGCACTGACCAGCTGAAGGCCAGCCCTGCCCTGGGACACCGAAGACGTCGGGACCCGACGGTGTGCCCCCGTCCTGGCGCCTCCGTCTCCCGCTCGGGTGCTGACCCTCCTGAGCCTCATTTCCCCACCTGGGAAAGGGGACCACACCTCCTCCTGCAGGGGGCTGGCTGGGCCTGCGTGCACCCCGCTCAGCAGCACACAGCAGGATCTTGTTCAGGAGGCCCACGTCCCAGGCCCCGTCCCCGGCAGGTGGGGGGTCGGGGCTGGACACCGGAGTGAACACACAGGCCGAACTTCCTGTCCTCATGCAGCTGATGCTCCGGGCTGTAGTTCTCAGTGCAGGGGCGGTTCGGTCTCCCGGAGGCCACCAGGCCGGGTGGACATGTGTCTGGTTTTCACAAAGCAGGGGGCAGGCCTGCTCCCAGCCTCAACTGGGTGGAGGACATGGCCACTGCTAACACACAGGACAGGCGCCCACAGGGAGTGACCCAGCCCCAAACATCCAGAGAGCCAAGGCGGAGGAGCACTGCTCTAGGGAGGGATGGTAGAGCAGACGAACGAGGAAAATCAACAATTGCTAGAAGGTGCTGAGAGCTACGGAGTCAGCCCCACGCACGCAAGCAGGCAGACGAGATTCATCTTTCCCAGCACAGCAAGCATGAGGCTTCAAGGGGGGGACATGATCCCGGGCCTGAGACCCAGAGACACGCTGCCCACCTGGTGTTAAACCAGGCCACAGACGGTCCACGGCCACTGTGCGTAGACATGCCAAGGCCCCCAGAGTCCCCGCGGCAGCCTTCACCAGCGGCCCCAGGGCCCCAGACGTAACGGGCCAGACCCCTGTCCCCGAGACCCCCAGGCCAGCAGAGGAAACACTCTCGGTGTCTGGCACCCTGGCCACCTGCAGACTGTGTGTTCTTCAGCCGGTGGCCTGACCCGCTCTCCCAGATGTAACATGGGGACCCTGGTGGGACTCTGGGGTCAGATGGGACCTGGTCATATGAGGGGCTCAGTCAGGGTCACTGGTGTTATGGTACACAGTGGCGGGGGGGGGGGAGCATGGAAGGTTCTGGAACACAGAAAGGAGGGAACGGTGAGTATGCCAGGACACAGAGGAGCTTAGAGAGGCTTCCCTGAGGATGGGGCACCCCCCTGGGGTCTCACACCAGGTTAGCAGATCAGGAAGGAAGGTAAGACAAAAGGACTCACAGTGTGGGTGTCTCTGGTGTGTACGTGTGTGTTTGTGAAGACAAAGCGGGGGACGGGGTAGGACACGACACTGGGGTTCAGCACCTAAGAGGCAGTGATCGCCACACCTAGGACACTACCTCATCCTCACCTCCTAACTGCCCCGACGGTCTCTTCCCAACTCAGCAGCCAGAGGTTCCCTTGAAACCTAAAGTCAGACCTTTCCCTCTCATCACAGGCAGTGTACAAGCCAGGTCCTTACCAAACCCCACATCTGCCCCATACAGAACTCATCCCGTGAGCCCCACTCTCCTGTGCCCCCCACCCCCGCTGCTCCAGCCACACAGGCCTCCTCGCCCGTTCCAGGAACACTAGTGCCTCAGGGCCTTTGCACCTGCTGTGCCCTCAACAAGGAGCTCATTCCCATCAGTACTCCAGGGTTCGCTCCACCCTCCTTCAGGGCTTTGTGCAGGCAGTGATGATGTCACAGAGAACATGACCTTTGAGCTGGGCCTTCAGGGGTGAGTAGGAGTTTGCCAAATGGAGGAAGGGTGACCTCTTCTGGAAGAGGGGTCCTGCATGGACGGAGGGTGCTGTGTGGGAAAGCAGGGCAGACCTGGGTCCAGGGCCCAGCAGGGAGACCTGTAGGAGCTGACCAAGAGGAGAGACCCAAGGAGGAGGAGCCATGTCTCAAAGTCTGGAGACTGGGAGCCATCAAGGAGGGGACTCTGAGGGTCAGGCCTCACCCAGAAATGGGTGCTTCGTTCCCCTGCTTTCCTTCACAGGTAAGTTGGCATCATTGTAAGTTATTGCACTGATCCACTCTATAACATTTTCTTTTATTATTGGAGTATAATTACTTCTGAAGTATATATGCAAGCCAAGAAGCAACAGTTAGAACTGGTCATGGAATAACAAACTGGTTCAAAACTGGAAGAGGAGTCCGTCAACGCTGTATATTGTCACCCTGCTTATTTAACTTGTATGCAGGGCACATCATGCGAAATACTGGGCTGGATGAAGCACAACCTGGAATCAAGATTGCTGGGAGAAACAGCAACAATCTCAGATATGCAGATGAAACCAATGTAATGGCAGAAAGCAAAGAGGAACTAAGAGCCTCTTGATGAAAGTGAAATTTCAGTTCAGCTCAGTCGTGTTCAACACTTTGCGACCCCATGGACTATAGCACACCAGGCTTCCCTGTCCATTACCAACTTCTGGAGCTTGCTCAAATTCATATCCATCGAGTTGGTGATGCCATCCAACCATCTCATCCTCTGTCATCCCCTTCTCCTCCTGCCTTCAATCTTTCCCAGTATCGGGGTCTTTTCAAATGAGTTAGCTCTTCCCATCAGGTAGCCAAAGCATTGGAGTTTCAGCTTCAACATCTGTCCTTCCAATGAACATTCAGGACTGATTTCCTTTAGGATGGGCTTGTTGCATCTCTTTGCAGTCCAAGGGACTGTCAAGAGTCTTCTCCAACACCACAGTTCAAAAGCATCAATTCTTCGGTGCTCAGCTTTCTTTATAGTCCAACTCTCATATCCATACATGACTACTGGAAAAACCATAGCCTTGACTAGAAGACCCTGCCAAGCCTGTTTCCAAAAGGGTGGCACCAATCTGCACTCCCATCTGCTATAGACAAGCCTCCTGATTGGTTCACCTCCCTGCTAATGACTGGTCTGTGCACAGGCATGTGATGTCCATCTGGCCAATGAGGTTTGAGGAGAGGGCTGCCCAAGGGATGCTGGGAGATTCCCTTAATTCCCAATGACTCACAGGAAGAGACAAGCTCTCCTCTTCCTATGGATATCCTTGTGTCTGAATGAGATGCTCCAACCACCTTGTGACCATCAGGAGGGCCCATCAGAGCAGAAAGATGGAAAGACCTGGGTCCTAGAGTCCATCACAGAGCCGCTGAACGAACCACCCCTGAGCTGCCCCGCCTTTGGACTTCTGCTTGTTACCAGGAACCGTGAACCTTCCTTGTTGTTTCAATCATTCTGAGCTGAATTTACTGTTGCTTTTTCAAGTAACAGCTGCCTTCCCACCTCATTGTCCAGTAAATCTGCGGTGACTCACTCCCCTCTAAAGCAAATTCTTTCTGCTTAAATCAGCCAGAGTGGGTTTTGGTTACTTGCAGCTTAGAACTCTGAAGATTCAGAGGAGAGTCTGAATGCAGGTCTGTTTGCCAACGAGCAGCGCATTGAGACAGGGATGAGAGAGCATGCCTGAGGTGGAGATGGGAGGTGGAGCTCCAGGGGTTAACGACCACCTCTCAGATGGAACCTGGAAGGTCACAGGGCAGGAACACAGCAGGGGGCAGATCCTGGAGGGACTTGAACTCTGAGCAGAAGAATGTTGACTTTGTTCTTTAAGTTGTGTGATTTTGACCGAAAGGGTCACCTACTAGAATTTATGTTTTAGGGAATTTACCTGGATGAGGTACTTAGGGGCCTTGGGGAAAGGGTCTGGCATCTTCTGAGCTTCTACCGTGTGGGTGATCAGGTCCCCACACCATCTCAGCAAATCCACACAAATCCCCTCTGAGGGAGAGATTAATCTCTTTTCCAGATGAGAGACTGGGGGTGCAAATCCAGGAAGTGACCGGGCCACACTGGCCAGCTGGTTGGGGCACATGGAAAATCAACAAACACCAGACTTAGGCTTTTTCAATCCCATCCTGCTGCATTCCCACGCATCGGAAGAGGGTTTGCACTCCCGGTCTGATTCTCCAAAAATCATCTGTGCTGCTCCAGGGAGGGTGAAACCTTTATCCCAATCAGCATCATGTTTCTGTCATTCTTAAAAGCCAGTGACCAGGTCAGGAGTTTTACATCTGTCTCGTCTAACAGCTGCCAAGGCCGATAAGTGATTTTCCATCTTCTCATGCAACGCTGATTTAAACAAAGCCTTTGCCAGGTGACGATGCTTGTCTGCATGTCGTAAAGGAAGCTGAAGACATTTTGGAGCAATGTGGGAGCAGTGAAGGAGAAAGATCATTCCTTGTCAGGACCTCAGGGCAACCGGGGGGTTGATCTTAGCCCCCAGCCTGGGAGGCAGAGTCCAGAACCTGTGCTGCTTCTGCAGAAGCTACAGAGAGCGGAGTCTGCCAGAAAACCCCAAGCTGAGCTCACTGCCAGCCTCTTCCCAGCCTGAGCAGGGTGCATGGGTCACGGGAACTGTGATGATTTAGCAGAAACCCAGGGACCAGCAGAGTGGTAAAGAATCCACCTGCCGGTGCGGGAGACTCAATCGCAGGTTTGATCCCTGGGTTGGGAAAATTCCCGAGAGTAGGAATTGGCAACCCACTCCAGTATTCTTGCCTGGAGAATCCCATGGGCAGAGGAGCCTGGAGGGCCACAGTCCATGGGGTCACAAAAGAGTTGGACAGGGCTGAACACACACACATGCACGTGCAGGGACAGTTATGAAGAAGCAGCAATTCCAAACACCTGTAGGGGCCAGGCACTCTGGGGACAGATGCTGTCTGACTGTTTGATTCCCCTGACCAGCCCCTAAGGTAAGGGCTGCCCTTGCCATCCCCATTGCACAGGTGGGGAACTGAGGCCCAGGGTCACCGCGGGACTTGCTCACATAGCTGGCAGGACCTGGACCCAAGCCCGGGGCTGTCTGATTCTGAATCCAGTCCACTTACCCGGCCACTCACCATGTGAGCACCAAGTGATCAGGGAGGCTTCATGAAGGAGGAAGCATTTGTGCGGAGCCCTGAAGAGTAAGTAAGAGCCAGAGGTGTTAAGGGCAGAGAAAGGCTTTTCCCAGAAAGGAGAGAAGTGTGAGCTGAGGTGCAGAGATGAACAGCCAGGAAGACAAAGCTGCAGGTCAACACAGTCCCTTCAACCCTCCACGAACCTCTCCTTTAAACTCATCTCAAGACGGAAAGCTGGGAGAAGCTACATCCCAAAGGAAGATTGGAGACTCAATTTCTCCCTGGAACAAAACTCTCAGGCCAAGATTTTAAAATTCTTTTCCTCTTGGAAAAAACATATCTGGTTTCAAGTCTACGTTTTTGGCAACCTCACTGCCAGAGTCTCTTTCCATTCAGGAGAAACGATGTATCCCCAGCATCCGATGGGGAATGAGGCCTGGAAGGCAGTGAACAGACAGGGTGGGTGCAGAGAAGGAAAAGGCAGAAAGGAGGCCTGTGAGGGGCTCTGATCCGGGCGGCGGTGGGGGGGGGGGGTTGCTGGGGCACAGCAGAGGAAAGGAAAGGAACACCCACTGAGCACCCACTACACACAAACACCCCTGAGGGTACCGCTGCTCAGGCCTGCCTGGCAGCCGGCTTGACCTGATGACACCCCAAATCCCAGTCTGCCTTCTGGCTGGCCAACATTCAGAAAGCACCTACTGGGTGCATGATGCTCCCCTGTATCAGAGGAAAGAGTTCAACCTCTGTGACTCCTTCCCCATCAGGAGTACAAATGGACTTCCTTGATCAGAAGGAACTCACAGGGCAGTAAGATGAGACATTAATTAATTGAAGACATCCCCAACAGAAGGACCGCTTGCGTGACCAGACCCGGCAGCCAGTGAGGGGCAACAAGGGCCTCAGGGGCAAGGTCAGTTCTTCACCGACTCTGGGCACCTGCTCTTGACGGGGGCTGGGACCGCAGGAGACTCAGACGCAGGCAGTGAGAAGCTCACAGTATATACCGAGGCAGCGTGTGTGGAGGGCACCCCTCTGCCTCACCAGCTCTGGTTTGAGGCTGCAGCATGTTAGAGGATGTGATGCAAACAGAGGCTTTCAACACACCTGTCTTATGAGACTTGGCCTCCGGTGCTCCGGAGCTCCGCCATGAGCCCGGCGCCCGGAATGACACCTGGAAGAAACCTGAAGCCAGCCCAAGGCTGGGAACCAAGCCCTGCTGACCCAGAGCCTTGGCCAGACGTGCAGCCATTCTGCAGACCCATGAGTGAGAAAACAAGCACTTCCTGTAATAAGCCACTAATTGGGGGGTAATTTGTTATGCAGTGTTACTCGGGCAATAACTGACTGATACATGACGACACGGTACCATCAATGCTTATTTGGAAGGCTCCTCGGTCCATGGAATTCTCCAGGCAAGAATACTGGAGTGGGTAGCCATGCCTTTCTCCAGGGGATCTTCCCGACCCAGGGCTAGAACCCAGGTCTCTCGCGTGGCAGTCAGATTCTTTACCATCTGAGACACCAGGGGAAGCCCCTTTAGGAAGTACATGCAGGCGAGCTCAAAGGAAGCCCTGAGCAGTTAGAGAAGGCTTCTGGGAGGAGGGGACATGTGGACTCAGCCTTGAAGCGTAAGTAGGGAAAGAAAACTGGAAGTCTCTCTCGGCTGAGGGAGTAACCACAGACAAGGAGCAAAGGTGGGGAGGAAACGGACTCTGTAGGGAAGCTGCACACAGGACGGTGTAGTCAGGGCACGCGGGCCGCGCCCAGCCCGATTACAGCCTGGCTGGACCACTGCAGAACAGGACACCCGCACGCTCCCTGGCAACCGTCAAGCCTGAGCTGTGATTGTTCCTTAGAGAGCGCATGGCCACCCCCGTTCTGCCCTGGGGGACGTTCTGTTGCCCACTGTCCCCCACGGCCCTGGCTCAGTGCTCCGTGGAGACGAGTCTGCTGGGCCACGGGTCTCCATGGCCACCTGCGGTGAGCACTGGAGAGAAGGCCGTATTCGCGGGGCAGACCCCTCCACGGCCTGCCTCTTTCTGACGCCACTTGGGGAGCCCGGGGACAGTCCGAGGGGTTCAACAGCCATGAGCCCAGACAGGTCCAGGCTGCTTTAGTTACCTAGTTCCCTCAAAACCTAGACAGTTTCCGGTCCACTCCACATGCGCACGTCCACAGCCACGCCTGGACTTGAATCCTGAACATCTGAGTGTGTCCACCCTGTGCTGGGCCCATAGCCCTGGACTCTGCCCAGCCATGTTTGTCTCGAGGTCATTAGGTCACCGAGCTCTGGAGAGAAAGACCGCCTTCCGCCGGATTATTACTGGGAGATTCTTTCAAGGGTTCCTGCCAGCAGGAGGACTGGGGCATCCGGCCCATTTCCTGCTACGCCTGTGCCCACCCCGCATCGAGCTGCCCACGTCACCTTCAGTTCGGGGTAGAAAAGCACTGACCCTTCACCTCTGGAGGCCTGCACTGGTCAAGGTAGACGGCAGGCACGGCCTCGCGTGCACCGTGTCCTCCTCCACCCCTCCTTATATACGGGCCGGCTCTAGTATCAGCTCACACGTGTCTCGAGGGACCAGCACGCGCCCACATTCTGAGCCTTGCCCTCCACCCCCTCACTCTGTGACCCGGACAGCACAGCACAGCCGAGGGCCGTCAGATCAAACCTCCTCTGCCGCATCGCACGGGTCTCCAGCCTTCCCACCATGATGGATCTGCCCGAACAGCCCCTCCTTCCTTCCCCATTCAGCCAAGCCCACAGTTTCCATTCTGTTACTCATCGTGTCCACCTCTGGCCACCAAAGTCTCCTCCGGCCAGGATTCCATTCAGCGGCTCCTAACAGCAGCCCCCTTTGCACAGTCAGAGCCGCGAGCAGGGCTGGGGCTGCACTGGACACTGACCATCCCCACTGGTGCCCACAGGCCCTGGGGACCCTCCCGGGGAGGACGACGGGCCTTGGAAGGGCACCGGTGGGGGGTCAGGGGCTGTGGACTTTCCAATTTCATCAGAGGGTGAGGTCTCAAAAACTACATCGGGGGGACTGACCCCCTAGACTCCCCTTCAAGGGTGGAGGTGGCCGGCCTTCAATCCCCACCCCGCTCAGGACAGGCCTCTGCACCCGAGGCCATGACCCTGTGGGACAGCCCACCTTCAAGGACAGTCCAGGCTGCAGCAGAAGAACCTGACGCTTCTCAGCTCGGAAGTGCCTTCAAGCTCCAGAGCCCTCTGCCAGGCTGGACGGGGCTGCCCGGGGCCTGGGCTCCACTGAACAACTTCTGCCGAATCCTGCTTCTCTCCTCTCCCTTCCCTGGGGCTTGCCTCCCAAGGGCACCCCAGATACAGCCTCAGCACATTAGTGCCACCTCGGGTCAGCTTCCTGGGGACCCAGCCTGGGACTCCAAGATGTAGCGCGTGCATCCCCGGAGGGTCCTGGATGCCCTCAGGGATGACGCCGGAGGAACAGCCAAGACCCGACGGCAGACTCAAGAGGAATCATGAGGGCCGCCCCGGGGTCCCGAACGCCGAAGACCCCCCCACAGCATCCAGGGAGGACGGGTCCTGGAGCCCAGGATGCAGCCAGGGGAGAGGACGGGGTGGGCGGGTGAGCCCAGCCTTGTCGGCGGAACACTCGCATGTGCACACACACCCGTGGCTGCTGGAGCGGCCCTCCAAACCTGGAGAATAGGGACAACCCTGTCCACATGTGGGAAGGAGACACACAGGCCGGCTGCACAGAGGCGGTGCTGGGCACGGCTTTTTGGTCATCAGGTGTCTGAACAGCCACGCCGTCTGGAGAGA